CGGCGGCGAGGCCGTTCGGTGGCGCGGCCTCGGCGTCGCGGATGAAAGCGTCAAACTCGCATTTCGAGCGCTCAGAGCGTGCTGCGGAGAACGTCTGTGCCGTGGCGGGGTTAGAATTCTCCTACGCAACCCCCCGTCAGGGCCGTGGTTACCACAAACAGAGCGGCAGGCACGCAGGAATTGCCGCAAAGGCCGGAGAAAACCCTGTGCAAACTCACAGTGGGCTCCCGCCTGCTTCCCCAGCTGGAACTTCCCAAGGAAAAGTTGTGGAAAAAAGCAGTGTTTGATGATTGTGCCCCTGTCCTTTAATGAAGGAACTTATCTCACAATTCCTTTCATCAGCGGTGTATTTACACTGCTAACTTCACCAGGAAACGGAAAGCTTTTATTGTGGTTCATTTATTATGTTATTTTTACATCTTTACCCTACGTTACTTTTACATTTTGCCCTTTTTTTAGAAGAGGGAACAGATGTAACCATATTTCTGTGACTGGGAACCATTAGTTTTCTGCTGCAAAAACTTCAGATTTGCCACCACACCTTGGCCTGGCCTGAAAAGTGGCTTTGTATCTTTTTAATCTCTTTAAAAGACGTAAGGCACACACGTCTTTTTCCTGATCCGTTTGTGAATGGATACAAACGTCGAGTGGGCACAAACACCAAGTGTCATACAGACCCAGGGAGCTGAATTTCCTGAGTAAAGGTTCCGTCCTAGTTTTGTGTCAAGTGCTTTAAAGGAAGATCTTAAGATTGGGGGAGATACCTTTCCACAGATGGTTATTTATTAAAAGTGACCCTTCTGGTTGGAGAGCTGTGTGATAATGCGGCAGGTTATTATCACATGCGATGCTCAGATCTGATGGAGAAAATCCTTATGCTTAAAATAATGCACTAATGAACGTCTGTGTGCTCAGTTCTAGTAATAATGACTGAAACAAACAGGACTGTGTGATACCTGTTGTCCAGTGAGATAATATTTGCAATACAGTAAATAGCTGAGGGGAAAAAAAAAGACACCTTTCAGTTGTTATGCAAATGCCTGACTTTTTTAGATTATGTTTCCTTTTAGTATGCTGACTTTCAGATTGGACCCTAACCTTAAAGCATCATTCTCTGAATGGGCTGCCAATCCAATAAATCAATGCTTACCATAGTTAATAGATTGCTTTCTCCTTTCATTACATCACCACATCACAGCACCCCAGAAATTGCTATGGTTTGGCTGCCGTTCTGTCTCTCATTCAGCAGAGAGATCTTTACAGCAACACCACCATGCTGCTCCCAGCTGAAGGCACTTTCTCAGGTCCTTTACCTGTATTTGTGGTGCCCCTCTGTAGTTCTAACAAGTTATTTGAGAAAAACTTCAGTCTGGCCCAGGTTCTGTACGTTCGGGCATCCTAAAAAGCACTTCTAAAAGAAGTAAAGCTTAGTTTCTTTCCTAAAGCTGCTGTAGATCTTTCCTAAAGCTGCTGTAGATGGCGTTTCATTAGCTCTGTTGATTTAGAAGAAGGGAAAACAGAGTTGGCAAGTGAATGTATTTTGCAGGTCTGCTTTCCAAGTACGTGCAGTGGCGGCTGGTTCTGTTCAGTGACCGCTTTATCCTCTTTTTTTCTTTATGTAATTTGATTAGTGTGCATCGTAATCTCACAGATAGTTCTTAAGTTTAGCAGTAAAACAACCGAAGGAAATAATCCTGTGGGTTAATTGAGATGAACTGGTTTTGTATAGCTCAGAACTTGTTTACCTGCAGCCTTTGAATATATTAAAACGGCAGCGCTGGTTCATTTTTGGTGGGAAAGCACATCAGGAGAGAACATCGTGCATGTGGTGGCATTTTGCCTAAATGGAAGGCTTCTGCTACAGCACAAATGGTGTGCTAAAATTTGTGCAGTGAGGTGATGTGTCTGGAACTATCCTCAGCGTGGAAGGCCTGAAGTGCTTTGAGATGTGACAGCAGGAGCGGTTGTGAGAGGAGCCACAGGGCTGCTGTGAGCCCTCCAGTCAGTTCTCTGACATGAGATTGCTCAGTGAGAGGAGTGGCCCTGCGAAGCTTTGGGGTGGCACGTGTCTGAAGGGACAGGTGTCCCAGGAAGGCAGAGACAGTGAGGTGGAGGGGAAGGGAATCTCTTAAGCACCTTTCACTCGGCAAATGCCTTTGGAGCTGCTTTGCTCTCGCTTGCTGCGTAGCCCCTGGAAGTGCTCAAGGCTGGGCTGGATGGGACCCCAGGCATCCCAACCTGGTGGGGGGCAGCCAGCTCGTGTGGGGCTTGCAACTGGGTCACCTTTAAGGTGCGTTCTGAACCATCACATTCCACCATGCTGTGATCTGTGGTTGATTCTGTGATCGCGTGTAGGCAGTGATTTATGCTGGGGTCATTTGCAAGTGCTACTGCACTATCAAAATTCTCTGCAATTAAAGGCAACTTTGTAATATTATAAAAGCATGCTGTGCATATGCAATGTGTAAACCTGTGTGTATCCAAAGATCTGATCCTGTGCGAGTCATCAGGATGGCTGGCTGTAACTTCTGTTGATCAGTGGGTCACTCTAGAAGGGAAAGAGTATGTTACTTGAAGTAAGAATTGCAGCCTTATGTTTATGCTATAGGTAAGAGACTTTCTAGATGGAAATTTGTAAGTAGGGTACTGTCACGTGTGTCTGCCTCAGTCTAGTGGCGTTTTGTGGCACTGCACTCAGGTTGTCTGTTCTCATGTTGAGTGTTGAGCACACTTGAGGAGCAAATGGTATCTACAGTATAACTTCTTCATATCCAGTAGCATGTGGCAGGTGTCCGTTACGACTAAAACACTGGTGCTTTATTTGAGGTATTGAAGGAATGTACACACTTCTGTTTCTGGTTTTATCGGGTGAGAAAAGTGGATTTAAAAACAGTGTTGCTGTCTGGGACGGTGTTTGACATCCTTGGCCTTCTGACTAAGATAAATGTGTTATATGATTCTTTGAATATAGCACAGCCTTGTTTTGAAGCTTGTATTAATGGCTTGTTGGCAGTAGAAGCTTGTTCCTTCCTATCTATGCTTTAACCTGACACTAGTGCTCGTTCAGGATGTGCCAACCTCACCTCCTGAGCAAAAAGTGGTTGATAATGAAATACCAGGTAGGGAAGGGAGGAAAAGCAGTCCAAGTATAATACTTACAATTCTGATTTCCTAAAATCCCACAATCTGCAGTTTCTTTGGCTTTTCCTGATTTAATGGTATTAGCAGTGTGGGAAGAGATGGGAAAAGTCCTCTCACCTGCCCTCGTTCCGCCAAACTTTCGCTGTTTTCCAGCCATGCAGAAAAAAGGGAAGGAGTTTAAAGCAAGATATCCCAAAATTTCTCTGTAAATGGGTCATGTACTTAAATCTCTACCTAAAAAGAGTTTTGAAAAGGAAAACAAGATTTAGCTCTTTGTTTTCCCAGTGCTGATTTTGTTAAACCTCCCATCCTGCTGTTTGTGGTCTGCTCACGCAGTTGCGAATGCTGCTCCAGTCCCAGAAACAAACAGTGCTGGTCTTATGCTGGTCTTATGCTGGTCTTACGGTCTTCTCAGCTGCAGTGCCCTGTTCCCT